AATAGATTTCAGCCTATAGAATGTGGTAGAGATGTTGTTTTTCCCTGCCCCTGATATTGTCATGGTTGTGTGGCCGTGTTTGACATATATGACTTGTGAAACTAACCCTGCCTTAACAGACAGCTAGCACCATAACCTTCTTCTTTTCTCTTCCAGGGTATATTTCCTTCCAGCTACGTTCACTTGAAAAATGCCTGTGTAAAGAACAAAGGGTAAGAAATGAGTTGTATTAATGGTTGGAGGATTTTCACAGAACCATTGCTTATTTCGGAATTTGAAAGGCTTGGTAATTGTCTTGAAAAATGAACTGAAGAAGATCATACATTGTCTGTGTCGTCTGGTAAAAGTATATTGTGCTAAGGCAGTTGGAAAAAATTAAAGAACCCTTTCTGCGTGTGCTGGCCAACACCAGGCTGTGGGTCACTGGAGGTCTCTCATTGTCCACAAATCATGAAATCTGCCTAATCTTGAGAAGGAATTGGTTCTTTTTGGTTTTCTGCTACATAGGGAAGCATGGCGGTCAGACCCATTAAATGCTGAGTCATATTGTCTCAAAACCCAGGAATTTCCTAGATTCACCACTGATTATAAGAGGCAATGTCTGCCTTTCTCTAAATGGGCATAATACTATATTCTTACGTGACCACTTCACAAAGCCATTATTCACCTTCAGAGGATATCATTTATGTGATACTTTGAGCTCATTGATCACTTAGCATTTCTCATATATTTAAAAAATGTTTTCAGTCTGTTTCCAAAAGGATTTGAGGCAGCTGTCAGGACAGCATCATTCAAATAATTGCAGGAAAAAACAATAGAATGTGCCTATTTAAATAGTTAAGCAGATCATTCATTTTAAGGGGGCCACGGATTTGGACACAAACATTTGGTATTAGTGTCATAAGGACTATTCAGTGTCATGGCATGATTTTCCTTTTATGACAGAAGAATACAGATTCAGCCATAGAAATTATATTTTTCTCAAACAGCAATATATAACAATTTATCATTTGAATTCTTAAGACATAATAAATGGGATCTTCAAACTTGAGTTTTGCTAAAAAAACTTCTAAGGATGTTATTCAAACAGATGATTCTTATATCCACTGTCTATAAAGGTATGGTATTAAATTTCAGTGTAGTGAAAGAATTTCTGCAAGTGGCTGAAGGTCTATGGCATAAATACTGTAAGTGTTCCCTATGTGGTTAAACCTTAAAAAATCTAAGAAGCCATTACCCTATGTCTTAAACATGTCAGCTACTTTAAGCAATATTAGTAGTAGTATGTAATAGTAATTATTTAAAATAGTAGATTAAAAGCATAATTCTGATACTAATAATTACCACTACTACTAATCTTTTAAGAAATATGTATCCTTCAGAAATGTTGTGCAGCTGTAATGCACCAGAAATGTCAAGAAGAGTTGTCCAAAGTTGTTTGGAACTTTCCTACCAGGCTAGGTTTGACACCCTCCTGCCCCTGTCAAGTAAACCAGAGGATACTTTAGAAAACCCTTCAGCCACATGCTTACCTTTATTCTGATTCTTCTGCCTTAGTGATCTTGGCTTGGCAATCTGGAAACTCCATGGTCTACCCTGTCTTAAAGTGTCCACTTGGACAAGCCCATGCAAGCCCATTTCCTGCCTTTGCCCCAAGCCCAACCCTGACCCCCCTCAACTCTGCAGGCCAAAGGGCTGCCCAGCCCCCATCACATGCTCTGACCGAGGGAGAGAAAAGAGAATGCTTTGCTAGCCAAGAAGATGCCAAGCATCCCTCCACATAGGCAAAGTCCACCCCTCAAAGTGAGTTGGGATGGGTCATAGTTTTAAAATAAGTACTCTCTTTTTTCTTTTTCTTTTTCTTTTCTTTTCCTTTTCCTTTTTTTTTTTTTTTCTTAAATCCTAGCCAGTAACTGGTGTATATCTGGATCCCTTCCATGAGCCCAAGGAAGTTTAAATGTGGGTAAAGATGTCTCAAAGTTTGGTTGTACGAGGTTAAGACTTGCTTGTGGGCTCTCCACCTGACGCCAGGCATGGTGGGCATTGTACAGCAGAACTCTGGGGTAGAACCCAACTTATTTTCTAAAAAAGAATTATTGGAATTGATTCAGATACCAGGTTCCAGGGTGGTTACTGGAAGAAAAACTTTGGCCTGCAAATATCTGAGGGCACATACTGCCAGATGATTGCTTTCCTAGAGAGGAACCTCTTGGGATTTTGGTGTTACCTGTCTTATTTTAAGTAGATTTGCAGGTTGATGGCCCACCAGGATAAGATAGCTGAACAGAATATCCCAGAATAACCAAACAAAATATAATTTCAGGAGCAGACACTTAGGAAAGACTATATGAATAGCGATTTTGGTTTTGGTATAATTAATAGGAAACAGCTGCCTTGCCTAAAATGGTAATTTTGTGCTTAAAAATTTACATTTTTGTTGGACAGCCCCCAAATCAATGCCCTACTGACTGAATTGCCTTTATGTTCTTCCCTGGGTCTTCAGAGCAATGTAGGACTCATAGGGGTCCTTAAATTAAATTATAGTTTGTGAACAGTGAGGCCACTTCTGTATTGTTTAATTTCTTCTGAGGTCATGTCACTTGTTAAATGTTAAGTAGGATGTCAAGTTTTCCTGGAAATTCAGTGTTCCCTCCTTGACCTTGTATAGGATCATTTTATAATTTTCATCTCCAAATATTCATCATTTAAATTGCAACAGCTGCTTCAAAAGCAAAATAAATGTCCTACCATTTGAAAATGTCATATGTAGACTTAATAAAAGGTTCTGTATCAGTCACAGTTCATATGTTACTGTTTACTTTTACTTCTAGCTTTAAATCCCTATTTTACATTTTCAGCTGTGGTTCGTCTCTAGAAACAAGGAAAATATTCACAGGGCAGGTATTTTATTTATGAAATGAGGAGATAAAGCTCTGTTGGTGACGGAATCAAGGCAAGATTTTAGTTCCCATGCTGCTTCTGTCAAGATGATTTTTACAAGAGACAATTGTACATACTTTGGACATAATATCAAAAAGGAAATGCAGAACAGTTATTAGCCTCATGCTAAGAAGTAATTTTCCCTCGATCATTTAGGCAACCTGGTTCTTTGTCTAATAGGCTGTTACCTTCTCTATATTAGATGTTGTCCTTGAGAAAAATATTCTGAAATAAAGAAAATAGTCCCCATCAGTATAGCCAGTAGCATTCTTTTGAGAAGCATTGGTAGT